ACTGTAATACTAATTGTAATAAGTTCTAAGATCTTAATTAATCAATAAAATTTACAAGCGTATAAGCAATTTAAAAAAAAAAAATAAAAAAATAAAGACTTATCAGGACATTTTTCACAATAATATGTCAAATTTTTATTATAATCGTATATTATATATCAGAACTATAATATTAATAAATCTCTGTTTATAAAATAATAAAATGATAATTAGCGAAAAGTTTAATTGTAATATATATTGTAAAAATTATATCATACAACAGTACAGTGGCCATTTAATGACAAATATTGTGAATTAAAATTTTTTAATAAAATGCGTGTAGCGAATATTCTTGGGTGCCGTAGTTTATTTCTCAATACGATTCACCCGTGTTTCCTGTAAAAAAAATATTTAATTCCAAACAGTTAAAACTTGCCCATAACATATATCTACAATATAATATTCAGTGTAATTTTTAAATACATAAATTTGCCTGAAACATTTTCTGAAACGCTCTTGTTAGACATGTCTTTTCAAACATCATTTCGAGAACGCCCTTTTGAAAGTCTTTCTTCTTGATCTCTAAAAACTCTTCTGAAACATCTTTCTCGATCATATCTAAAACGTTTTTTTAAAACATGTTTCCAAAGTATTTATCGTAGTATTAGTTGAATTCATTATAAATAAGACACCTTTGGACTTCTATTCGAAATCGTACTAATCTCAAATTATTAATTAGAAATACTTACAATCAAAGCTCTTTTAATAAATCCATTTTCGTAATTGATTCCTATCAGCTATGGATAGTTATTATTCAATACTTGAAGATCCGGATGTAACTTTGATTACTGATCAAAATATGGACGATTATTCTAGACCTGAATATCCTGAAGAAACTATGATTATAGATCAAAACATGGATAATTATTGTTCTAGACTTGAGGACCCAGAAGAAAATTGGATTGCAGATCAAAATGATCAAGAATTTACTCATGATTATTTGGCTGCGACAAAAGTGAGAAGTTTGTTAGAAGATCAGATAATAGAAAATGAAGAAGGTGATGTTGAAAAAATGTTGCCTGAGGATGAAGAAGATGAGAGCCATGAAATTCCAGAAGTTAAAATGAAGAAACGGTCACCCTGTGTTATTTTCGATAATTTAAATGGAGAGGTTAAACGTTGCAATTCAACAACTAAGTTAGTATCATTATCTCAGTTAATTGGAACCTGGGAAGTAAAAATAACCCCGGAAGAAAATTTAGACATTACCGAGTTAGGAGTTTGTTCGAGTCATTTTAATTTCGATCATAGCAAACTTCACTCGTCCGGTACTAAACTAAGAAGGAATACAAGTAAAAGTATAATTCACACAAAGAAATGTTTACTCTGCAACAAATATAAAAGGTTCTTTAGCAGAGGTAATGATTGTGTAGAACATTGCTGGAATGTATGTGGGAAAGATATTCAAGTACCGTGCCTTGGTTTTAAATCATGTCCAGCTTTCCAAATAATTCCAAATATTACTTCGAGGGTTACTAATGATAATCGCGTTAGATATATCTGCACAAGTTGTTTTGAAAGCAATGGTGGACATCTTCATATACGACAAAAATCAGGAAAAATACCTAAAACGTGTGTTGATAATGAATTACATAGTGATGACACTAACCACGTTTTGAGACTTTTCTCAAATTGGCTATCAAATCTCTCATATTCTCAGGATGAGAGCAAAAAGGAAAAGGTATTATGGCATATGATGAAATTATTGGAGTCTCCAAAACCAAGTTCATCATCCTCTACTGATACAGAGCATAATTTACCTAGTCAATTGCTTGTAAAAATAGCTATGAAAATTAATAAACTCGAAAATTATTCATTTACAGATAAAAAGCATGTAAAAGCAGAAGAATGCAGGCAATTTGGAAAAATGCTAGGGGAATCGATATGTGACTCACGCGATGAGATTGAAAAAAACCGTAATAAACTAGAAAATCCATCATCATTAGATGAATATTACTCTAGTTTTCCTTTAGCTCTTACTAGTTTCTTTGATGGATTGATCGGATCTATTGAAAAACGAAAATATGCAGTAAGAGAAAAAAAAAAAAAACAGCGTGGAAAAGCGCCATCAGAATTTGATACAAGTTCTATAAAAAAGATTACATCATTTCTTGCATCTATTATCCTGACAATAGCATTCCGTTCATGGAAGATATGGCTTACCTATACTATGGCTTCCTTGTGCAAAAAGCCCAAGTTAATATCTTCCTTGCAAGCAATTCTACGTGCAGTACACATTACGTCTCATACATGGAAACATGAGACGAGATTGGAAAAGGAGCGTGTTAAAAAATCAAACCCATTAACAAGATTGATAAAAGGTCCCAACATATGGAATGTTGCAGTTATTGATAATATTGATTTTAAAAATATTGTCTTTAAGTATGGAAATATATACGATGTTACACGGCAATCCGCGCATGCCACTTTAAGAATGGTATTCCAGTTCGAGCTTCCGTTTAACATTTCGTCCCTTGTCCAAGAAAATTTAGAATCTCAAGAAAATCTATTTGGTCAATCAGAATTTACATCCAAATGGGATGAAAATTTTGATCAAATTATAGAACAGTTAGTAAATAAACATGAAAGAAACTTTGGCATTAAAGAAATTAATGAAGAAATATCTTCTAAAATAGAATCGGGATGTCAAATAAATCCACCTAATATTGTTATATTAGAACCTGGACCAGCACCTGATAGCAACGCTTCCGTATTCAAGTCAATTGATATGTATCTAAAAGATCTTGAACAAAATGTTATCGATTTAGCATGTGATGCAGCCATTTTTGCAAGGACTAAATCGTATAAAAATAAAGACTTAACTTGCAGATTTATTCTTGGACAATGGCATACATCAAAGGCCATGTGCAGTGCTTTAATTACAGCATTTAGTGGATATGGTCTTTATAGTATGGCGGCAAAGCTTGGTGTGTGATTTCTTGACAAACTGGAACAAAACGTAGACTATCGTGCAACTTGTAAAGTGCTAGAATTAATACATGCTGCCGTAGGAATAGCGATTCGTCTTCATTTAAATGATAAAAACATACCATTAGACACAGAAACTATATTTAAAGGGAATAATAATATCCTAAAAGTGTGGTTTTTATATTACCGTTTAGCCGGATATTGGAAAGGTCATCGTGTAGGAATTCGTTTAGGTAATGCGGATATGCAATTAAAAAATTTAGCTGCATTTGCACCACTGTTTTCTGCAGCTGGAAAAAATATTTATACATCGTCAGTTGTAACCTTTTTGGAGTCAGTATCACGACACCCACAGCAACGTGAACTATTCAAGCACGTTGCTTCAGTAAATATTACCAGAGAAAATCATTACCTAGCTCTTGATGAAGCTCTGGAACAATATGGTGTAAAATTTGTTAAACAAAATTTAACATCTGGCTTATCAGATCCGGTAATTCTAAAGCAAAGGATGATGGCGATTCAAGATGAACGCGAAAGAGTGTTGCTTCTATACAACAAATTCGTGGGAGTCAATGTAGTTAGTACAGAAGATCGAAATATTAAACAATACACCGAAGCTTTCTGGAAACTTGTTGATGAACTTACCAGTGCATTTAATCACCCTGATCCTACACAACATGATCTTTTCCGACACGCACAAGAAATGAAACCAGATGGTTATACACGAATGTTTAATTTTTACAAAAAGGGACTCATTCGGCTATATAATATTCTGCATGAAGATATCTATAAAACTAAAGAGGTGGTTACAAAGGGAAGGCGGGTTAAGGAATTAGTTAGTGTCTCAGCTAAAGAATATTTACTATCTTTAAAAGATGATTAAAAGAATGTAATTAATAAAATATATTATATAAATTTAAAATAAATTACTTAACCCGTATAACTAACTAATAAGTTTATGCTTTCCGGATCTTAATAATTCTTGTCTTGTTCAAACATTTTGCATTTTGGTTTCTTGATTCCGGGTTGATTGAACTTCTAATACCTAGGAAAAACGTTATAAAATCTTCAATTTACTTTAACACAAAAATTTATTAACAGAAGCTACTTTATACCTCTAATTAATCATATGGCTTGTCGTTTATACTAGCTTGTAATTTAACAAAATCTAGTATAACTTAACTTCGTGAAAAGGATGTAGACAATAAAGTTAAAAATTATGCTCTTCTTTGACCTGTAATATCTAAAAAAAATAAAATAAAAATAAAAAAAGCGAAGTTATAAGTAAGCGAAATAAATAAGAAAATTGAATTTTATTAAAATATAAGGATCGAGTTTCTAGTAAGTTTTACAGTTTTACTTGTAACAAACGAAAAGCAAGTGTATAATTTTTGTGTAATATTACTATGTAAAATCGATCATCGTGACATATTCCCTGACTGTTAGTGAGTTGTTACAGCTAATCCAATGGTTGGGTGAGTCGGGGATGCCACAGGAGAAACAGGTGTCGGCCTGGTAGGTTTTTGGTGCTATAAGGTGGAAGTGGAAGTAAGTAGGTAGTTCGTTAAGCAGGAATTTGATTCTGAATGCTTTCATTTGGTTTAGTTTAGGTGAGGTAATGCCGGTGGTTGTTTTTAGATTATTGTTGAGGTAGAGCCAGGTGGAGTTCCAATCAATTGTTTGGGTATAATGTTCCCATTCTGTATTATGCTTTTGGGATGACCATAGTGCTATTGTAAATGCTCTGCCTATATTTTTAACAAATTGTCTAGCTGGTCTTTCTATGTTATGTTTTTTCCACTGGATAGTAAAGTGTGGGTTGTGTATATTTGTGTGGTTGAATAGGAGGATCGGTGTGGAGGATTGTTGGTGTGTTTTGGCCAGAGTATCTGCCATGTTGTTGAATCGGTCGTTGGAGTGTGCCTGAACTTTGTGTAGTGTTAGCTGGATATTGAAGGCCTTGATAGCGTTAAGAAGTGTATGCCAGATTGGCCAGTAGTTGAATTTAAAGTATTTTGAGGATGTGGGAGGGGTGTTGAGGAGTTTATGGTACTTGGAGATGATTGATTGCGAGTCTGTGAATATGTCAACCTTGGCACTACGTGGTAGTGTAGCTATAGCAGATAGGATGGCCAGTAGCTCAGCTTTGTATGATGAAGGCCAGTTGAGGATTTTGGCAGA